AGACTCTCAGAGTCTGATTATTTGAGGTGGCAGTATCTGCGTGAGCAATCCTAATTTCTGCAGGCATTGCACATACTTAGCGCAAATTTAATTGCACTATGAGCACGTGTAATGCTCTCAGAGATGGCCAAGGGCTGCATGTCAGTAAAGGCGCACCTCAATGACCTTGACTGAAGGTCATCAGTTCGCAGTGGCGTGCGATGTCGATGCCTGTATGCGTCAGTGAGCATTCGCAACGTGGACGCGTCCAGAGTTCATACACTCTAGCAAGTCTACATCTCCTCCAATTGGACGGAATTATTGTCACATGAAGTATCAGCTTAGAACAGCTATTTTGTACGCTTTTATAGGTGGCTCAATGATTAGAAATCTACGCATAGTAGTGAGCCTTTCGTGACAAAACCCTTATTGGAGTAAATGACTTTAACTGCATTTTCCTCACATTTTAAGTGGAGTATAGGAATATGCGATATAAGTTTGCAATTAAATACGTTGGGTTTGGGTTTATCGTTAGCGTTAGAGTAACGTTGGGTTACATTAAGAGTGAAGGTTAGAGTAAGCGTGGACAGTAGGGGCAAGCTGTAGGATTGTGTACCGCTAAGTTGAGCATTTAATTTATAGTTTATTTTAGGGCTAGGACACGAGAGTATTAACCCTCCTTCAACTTATACGCGGGTTTAACTTGAGTTTTGTGATAGGGCGTTCTTCTTCCCCCTGTTCTGCCTGGAGGTTCATATAAGTCATTCTTATCTATTAAACACATTGAAACTAGACCACAGGTACAAAAAGTATATAGAATGTCACATCTCAACCAGCCCGCGTTTCTATAAAACCTGAAAAAATTCCTCAGTGTAATTAAGCTGTGGTTCTCTGGAAATTGTGTTTAATTTTCTTACCTACCTGCTGATAGTAACCAAAGTTACCCTCTGGTAACTTCTGCAGTTTACCTACAGCCTGCGATTCTGTCTGATGATTGTAGTGTGCTAAGCACAACCACTATTTAGACGCTACAAGTTCAATAAAATCAGCGTTTCCTTGCAAGACTTTGTTTTTTTATGCGGCACCGAGAATTCGCTATAAAGACGGGGTGACCTTGAAATGCCAAAGACTGAACCGTTTTACTGAAGATCCAGAGGCGGGCGACGAAAATGAGCAACGGTCTGGGAACATGGTCCTATAAAACAAACTGTAAGCCCTTCACTTTGTAGAGCGTACTGTAAGTATGCAGAAATTTGCGTTTTCGCTAAAGAGGAACTTTGCAGACTAAAAGCTTTTATTTGGGGGTAAATAATTGTATCAGGAGTATCATTTAAATTCGCGATGAATGAACGGATCACTTGATCGATAACAGTATCGCTTGAGACTTCGGATCTGCGGTAGATGAAAGAGAGTAACAGATTCATTTTTGGACGCACAGTGAGTGGCCTCTGCACTGTATGCAGTAGCACACCTAATTCGATTAATAAGGCTGACGTCGTAATTCGCTCGATGACTCTTCAAACATGTACCTCCGCAAGGTTGCTGTTCGCCATGCATCCCATTTTCATACAGCAAACTTTCCCTGCTTATAGGGAATGACTGTGGCACTTCTATGATTAACCCATTACCTCCAATAATTTTAACCACTTTGATTTTTGTTATGAAACTTGGATACCTATGGTTTTTCAAACTTGTATATAAATTAATTTAGAGCGAATTTTTTAAAAATCTCATGTGGATATCAAGAGAAATATACCTAATACTATAGCATGAAGGTAAAATATGCGTATATACAGACAGATTATTACGCAAGCTCTTAATTTTTAAGTGATCTAATATGAGATCACCGAGAGGAAATGGGTTAAGGCGGCATAGGCACGAGACGTCATACCTAAAATATGTTTCAGCTCCGTGTCGAACGGATGGAAACTGACATTTCCTTACATTTCTGTCGGATGAAGAGTTTGGGGCTAAGTCAGTGCTTCTTAAAATATTCCTAGCACTTCAGCATTATTCCCCAATAAAGACGAATACTCTCTGGCCCTACGCATGCCTTTTGACAACTACCACTTAGCTCTTTCAATTTTACTCCTCAAGAATAATCTTCTAACTGACATGAATTAATTCCTCAGCAATAAGTTGGTCACAACATCTATATTGTAAAAAAAGCTCATGAGAGGAAGAGCAGTGTCACCTACCTAGAGGCAGGTGGATACTCCCATGTCGTATACCTTCCATAAAATGGAAAGCAAACCTTAACCGTTACATTATCCGCACAGTCCACTCTAAGCGAAACCTTAATCCTTAACCTCATCCAAACTTAACTGAATTCTACAGACCTCAAACCTTACTCTAGTCTTAACTCCGACTCCCTAACATAAACAGAATTCAATTTTGCCTGGAATTTATCGCAACGGCACCTGTGCCACGGGCGATTCCTCTTCGCATGTCCTGTTTATGCAGCCCTAAAAATTCATTTTCAACGTGCCCTCTCCCTAACATGTATATTTTGAATGAAAAATAAAGCTCTTTAAGAAATCAAAGTCCACCCC